ATAACAGAAAATGATAGAGTATAATTAAACAGCCTAACGTAAAATAGAAAAAAAAAAAAACTGAATAAAATAGAAAATAATAGAACAAAATACAAATTAAAAGAATAGAATAGAACATAAATTAAATAAACTATAATAGATTAAAAACTAATAGTATAGGATATGGTAGAATAGAACAGAAAATAATAGAATAGAATGAATATAGCCATCATCAAAAATGTGAAATTTGAATTTCAAACCAATTAAAAAATAATAAATATACAGAATGAATTTGAATATACAAAACAAATTCCAACAAACAAGTCAATCTAACAGAGTGAATATGATGAAACAAAATTATGAACTTAACCAACGAATCAGAAACAAAACACATTTTTCTGTCGTGCACATTTCTATCACATATACTGTATGTATTTTAATTTTGCATTTACTGTAGCTGCTTGCCTGGAGTTCATCCTTGATAAAAATAAACATATTAATATGTGTTAATGCATTAAAATTCTTGTTTCTATATATCCTTTTTAGTTATCTATGCATTTACTTGTTGAATATGTAGGCAGTCTCTGCCTTATTCTGCTTTTTCACTGCCAGTCTACCAGCTAGGATCTGTCTGATTGAATACAATGCCCTCTGTTCAGTTTCTAGTAAAATGAAACACCCACGGTACTGTCGGTGCGTACAAACCATGAGATCTAGTCTGGGAGTTCAGCGAAAGCATTTTTTTATACATGATAATCATAAGGTTCCTTTTTACTATAAGTAATGATGTGGTTTGGGAATTCAGAGACAATATGCATTTTATGATAAGTCCATTAAAAAATGGTTACATGCATTACGTTGTGTTTATGTTGAATTTTGCATTTTAATGATAATGCTACTTGGAATAATTAAAGTGTTACTAAACCCACAACAGTAAAATCAGTCTGTATATTCAGTAAATGCTTGTTATAGTAACTGTGGAACCTAAGGGGTTAATCCTCTGAATTGTGTAAAAAGGCCATTTGATCCTGTTTTCTCTGCCCCTCCTCTTGTTCAAATGTCCATGTTTTATCTCCTGATAAGACAGACTGAACCCATAGCCACATGCACATGCTCAGTTTAGTGTGTATTGCTAAAGAGGTTTTTTTTTTCTTGGGATAGTGCATGTGATCAGTACAGAGCCAATCAGCACTGTCCAGACAGAGGATCAGGGCTTTTGCATCCTCCTAGAGCAGAAAGAAAAACTCATCCTACAATCTTTAATCAGTGCTCAGCTGGACACTGATAGAAGACACAAGACTGCTCTAACTGCTGATGAGAAGTATTTAGCAGTTTATATTTTCTAAAATAATTGCATTTCCTCGTTCTGTGTACTGGGGGAGACCAGATATAGTGAATGCAGGGTCCTGGGTTTTGTAATACTTTAATGGTTACAATAATTGATTTTTAAAATTTTTTTAAAATAATTTTTAGAAAATGAAAACATTGCATTTTTTAAAAAATAGGAATAGGTACCTATAGAAAATATTGACCAGTTAGAACTGTGGGCAGCACTGTGGCTAAATGGTTAGCACTTCCACCTGGCAGTACTAGGGTTGTTGGTTCTAATCCTAGCCACAGCACACCTGCCTGGAGTTTGCATGCTCTCCTTGTGTCTGTGTGGGTTTCCTCTGGGTACTCTGGTTGCCTCCCACACTCCAAAGACATGCTGGTATGTTATTTGGTTCCTGTCTAAATTGTCCCTAGTATGTGTATGTATGAATGTAAGTTAGGGACCTTAGATTGTACACCCCTTGAGGGTTAGGGACTGATGTGAATGTACAATATATATGTAAAGTGCTGTGTAAATTGATGGTGCTATATAGGCACCTGAAAGAAATATTAAAAGAGAAAGTGGCAAGTGCTGATTGAATGCTGGTTTTCCAGTATGACTGCTCCACAGAAGATGGTTATTATACCTGCTTCTGTTGATCAGACAGTTGTATACACAAATTTTGGCCATTGTGTAACAGGCTATAGCAATACCATACAATGCCAAGCTGCCGCTAACCAAGATAGCAGAATATCCTCATGCAGTAAAAAAAAGGAATATATTTCCATGATTGATGCTACCTTGCACAGCTGAATTCCCAAATATACTAAAATTTGGCAGCCTGGGATAGACAACTGTCTACTCATGGATTTTGACTCAACTTTGCTTGACCCCTAGAGACAATCCTCTACCCTTTCTATCTCTTCCACCATGACCCAAGACCCCCGGAAACCCCTTTCTGCCTCCCCTTTTTTTCTGTCTTCTTTCTTTTTTCCTTGTCCTCCTACATACTTCCCCATCCTTTTCTCTTATTGTCCTAGCAGTATGTAAGGGATACATAGCACAGTGGCTAAGTGATTAGCACTTCTGCCTGGCAATACTAGGGTCACTGGTTCAAATCCCAACCACAGCACCACCTTCCTGGAGTTTGCATGTTCTGCCTGTGTGGGTTTCCTCCGTGAACTCCAGTTTCCTCCCACACTCCAAAGACATGCTGGAAGGTTAATTGGCTCCTGTCTAAATTTGCCCTAATATGTAAGAATGTGAGTTTAGGGACCTTAGATTGTACACCCCTTGAGGGTTAGGGACTGATGTGAATGTACAATACATATATGTATATGTAAAGTGCTGCGTAAATTGATGGTGCTATATAAGTACCTGAAATAAATAGTAATAAATAATTACTCATCACACATGAGCCTATCAGCTTGTGAACTGCTGATATAATGTACAATGCCTGGCCCAACTCATGTGGCTCTAGCCTGTTGTTCACCTGTGTATCCCATTTTGCTGTACTGTTGTTAGTACATCTGAAAACGTGAAAACAAATGATTGAACAGAAAAAGGGAATATTTTCAAGAGATTAACCTCTTTGCGCCGGCTGCATGCAAATGTGCGGCCTCCCGGCGTCTGGGCCTTGACGCCAAGCAGCCGCACATTTGCGTGCAATTGACAAAAACATACAGTATGTGCTGAGAGCTCGTGCCCTGCATGCTCCCAGCACACATTCCGGCACTCACGTAAAGGTCCCGATCTCCTCTTTTGATAGGGACCTTTCCCGAACATGTAATTGCTGTCACAGCGAATCACGGCGGACACATGACCTTAAAACCCCACCCCGCCTCCCAGCTTCTGAAACCCTTAACCTCCTTAGCGGTATTCCCGAGTGTAGCTCGGGGTAACATTTCAGTACCAAAAGCGGTAACCCCGAGCTACACTCGGGCTTACCCTGCGGCACTGCTCCGGCATGTGTTCTTCACTTACCTTACCCTGCGCTCCCACGATGTGTCCCCTGCAGCGTCCCCGGCCATCTCCTCCGGCCGATGCCGGCATCCGGCTTCTGTGTCCTGTCCCTGTGACGTCGGGACGTACGGGCGGCGGCGGGAAATTTAAAAATTTTAAAAAATGTCTTTTTTTTTTTTTTTTTTACATTTTACATAGTAAAACATTGCTGTCTCAACCAATTTCACATACATATTGTCCCTAGTGCTTTGTACTGTGCCCTGCCTGCATTTTGTCTGTTCTTTCTGCCTGGAAACTGAGAAATGTCCATGGCGTCCAAAAAGTGTCCCTTTAGGTCAAAAGCGGTTTAGATCAGCTAGAGAACAGCAATAGTAAATCAGAACCACTTGCAGAATTGAGTGATAATGATTCGTGGGGGAAATTCGTCATCAGACACTGAAAACGATTTTGCGACTGAGCTCAGCAATGTGCGAACTTGGCGCTCTATTTCACATTTCAGTGTTTTTGGTTTGATTATATTATTGAATTAAATTTTTTATTATTTTTATATTATTTTTATGATTATTTATTAAATTATAATTTATGATTTTGTGTTTCAAATTTTATCCTACCCGGGATGTTTACTAGACTCTTGTTCGGACAGATTTCAGTGAGTTTTTCCTAAAAATTACAGCCTACAATAAAAAAAAATACATATTTCCATGCAAAAAAATGGTACCGCTTTCAGCACCAAAAATCTGAAATAATCATACCGCCAGGGAGGTTAAAGGAGGTGCCGATGCCAAGGGGTTAATCTATCCCTTTACAAAACACTGGTTCTACCTGATCTTGAATATGCAGATCAGTTTTGGTCACCAATCCTCAAGAAGGATGTCCTTGAATTTGATAGAGTTTAGCAAAGGGCAACAATATTAGTAAGGGGGCTGGAGGACTTCAGCTATGAGGAACAATTACATACAGGGGCAGACTGACAAATCATGGGGTCCCCGGGAAATAGGGGATCATGGGGCCTCTGTGTCCTTGCCCAAACTCGAAAAAGCCTATGAAAAAGGTACCAGGGGCATCTCATGGGGCCCCCTACTGACCCCGGGCCCTCAGGCAGTGCCAGAGTTTCCAAATGGTCAGTCCGCCCCTGATTACATAGGTTATACTCATTGACTCTGGAGAAGAGGAATGTAGGAGGGAATATGATCACAATGTACAAATATATAAAAAGAGATTTTCCTATTTTTCACTCCATAAGACACACTTTCCCCCCCAAAAAAATGGGGGGAAATGTCTGTGCATCTTATGGAGCAAATATTGACCAGGCCTCCTCCCCTCCCCCGTCGCTGACGCCATGTTAGAATACCGGGCCAGCCAGCAGGGAGGGGGCGGGCCCAGGTCCGGAAGCTCCACTGACCCCGCCCCATGCAGCCTGAATGCTCAAAAGGGAGCTGCTATAGTAGAGGTTGTGATGTGAGTGGGAGCCCCGCCCCCGGACCTCAGAGAGGATGCTGAGCACGGCTGGCCAGGTATGTCCTTCCCCCCATATAGACTGCCTGTGGACTGTGATACCAAACCCTGAGCTGTTTTTCACAAACTGCACATCTGTGCATTGCTGAAAGAACTCTGTTCATCCCCTGTAATATGTCTGCAGTCTCTGTTCACCTCTAGTAGTGTGTCTGCAGTCTCTGGTCATCTCCTGCACTATGTCTGCAGTCTCTGGTCATCTCCTGTACTATGTCTACAGTCTCTGGTCATCTCCTGTACTATGTCCGCAGTCTCTGGTCATCTCCTGTACTATGTCTGCAGTCTCTGGTCATCTCCTGTACTGTGTCCGCAGTCTCTGGTCATCTCCTGTACTGTGTCCGCAGTCTCTGGTCACCTCCTGTAGTATGTCGCAGTCTTTGGTCACCTCCTGTAGTATGTCCGCAGTCTCTGGTCATCTCCTGTACTGTGTCTGCAGTCTCTGGTCACCTCCTGTAGTATGTCCGCAGTCTTTGGTCACCTCCTGTAGTATGTCCGCAGTCTCTGGTCATCTCCTGTACTATGTCCGCAGTCTCTGGTCATCTCCTGTACTATGTTCGCAATCTCTGGTCATTTCCTGTACTATGTTCGCAGTCTCTGGTCATCTCCTGTAGTATGTCTGCAGTCTCTGGTCATCTCCTGTAGTATATCCGCAGTCTCTGGTCATCTCCTGTAGTATATCTGCAGTCTCTGGTCATCTCCTGTACTATGTCTGCAGTCTCTGGCCATCTCCTGTACTATGTCTGCAGTCTCTGGTCATCTCCTGTACTATGTCCACAGTCTCTGGTCATCTCCTGTAGTATGTCCGCAGTCTCTGGTCATCTCCTGCAGTATGTCTGCCGTCTGGTCATCTCCTGTAGTATGTCCGCAGTCTCTGGTCATCTCCTGTACTATGTCTGCCGTCTGGTCATCTCCTGTAGTATGTCCGCAGTCTCTGGTCATCTCCTGTACTATGTCCGCAGCCTCTGGTCATCTCCTGTACTGTGTTTGCAGTCTCTGGTCATCTCCTGTACTATGTCTGCAGCCTCTGGTCATCTCCTGTACTATGTCCACAGTCTCTGGTCATCTCCTGTACTATGCCCGCAGTCTCTGGTCATCTCCTGTACAATGTCTGCAGTCTCTGGTCATCTCCTGTACTATGTCTGCAGTCTCTGGTCATCTCCTGTACTATGCCCGCAGTCTCTGGTCATCTCCTGTACTATGTCTGCAGTCTCTGGTCATCTCCTGTACTATGTCTGCAGTCTCTGGTCATCTCCTGTACTATGTCCGCAGTCTCTGGTCATCTCCTGTACTATGTCCTGCAGTCTCTGGTTATCTCCTGTACTATGTCCACAGTCTCTGGTCATCTCCTGTACTATGTCCACAGTCTCTGGTCATCTCCTGTACTATGTCCGCAGTCTCTGGTCATCTCCTGTACTATGTCTGCAGTCTCTGGTCACCTCCTGTACTATGTCTGCAGTGTCTGGTCATCTCCTGTAGTATTTTCCGCAGTCTCTGGTCATCTCCTATACTATGTCTGTAGTCTCTGATCATCTCCTGTACTTTGTCTGCTTTCTCTGGCCATCTCCTGTACTATGTCTGTAGTCTTGGTTCAGAATATTTTTTTTCTTGTTTTCCTCCTCTAAAACCTAGGTGAGTCTAATGGAGTGAAAAATACGGTACTAACTGTAATAGTCTGTTTACTCTAAGGTACTTGAAGACAATTTGAGGTTGGACAAAAGGAGGTTTAAACTTAGATGTAGTGATGGGCTGAATACCCCCGTTTGGTTTGCAGTCGAACATTCAAATCTAATGACAGTTCAACAGTAAACTTTGAACTTAATGCAAGTCTATGGAACTCGAACTTGTAATTTCAAAAGCACACATTTTGAAGGTTTATATGCAACTTATTGGCCATAAAAGGGGTATGGGGACTCAGGTACTGCCCTGAGGGACATGAATCAGTGAAAAAACTATTCAAAAAGTAAATATTTGTTAAAGGGCAGTAATTTTTTACTTTTTAAAAAAGAACGAAAAATTCCTTTAACCACTTGCGACTGCAGATAGCTGAATGATGGCTTCACCACGGCCAGCTAGTTCTGGGAGGGCGTTATATGACGTCCTCCCAGAACGCGCCCTCCTGCGCTCACCTGTGGGTGCGCACTCGGTGATCTCCTTGATCCTACGGACACAGCTGTGATGTAGTAAAAGGCCAATTACAGCGGCCTTTTACCATGTGATCAGCCGTGTTCAATGACACAGCAGATCACTGGTAAATTCAGTTGCCAGTTATGGGCTGCACTTTCCTCATTCTGTCACAGCCTAAGGAAAGTACTGCAGATAACAGGCAATTGTCAGAGGATGGATCAGCACCGATCATCAGGGCACTAATGATCAGTGCCCTGATGATCTGTGCTACCCACCAGTGCTGCCCACCTGTGCCCATAGTGCTGCCCACCTGTGCTCAGCAGTGCCACCCACCTGTGTCCATCAGTGCCACCCATCAGTGCCGCCCATCAGTGCTACCCAGCAGTGCTGCCAGTCAGTGCCCAGCCATGCCGCCAGTCAGTGCAGTCATTCAGTGCCACCCATCAGGGCTACCCATCAGTGCCGCCCATCGATGCCCATTATTGTTGCACATCAGTGCAGCATAATCAGTACCAACTCATCAGTGCTGCCTAACAGTGCTGCCTATCAGTACCCATCAATGCTGCCTATCCATGCCACCTCATCAGTGCTACCTATCAGTGCCTATCAGTGCCCCCTATGAGTGCCAACTCGGTACTAGCTAGGTGTACCTAATAAAGTGGCTGGTGAGTGCAATTGCACACCAGCATTGCTCTTTGCACAGTGCTATGGAAAAAGTCGTACAGGGTACCAAGCAAATTCCCATAGCTGGAGCACAGAACAGTGATATATTTCATATAGAAACTCAACAAAATAGGTAAGAATTATGCTAATTTACTACAATTAGGTATTAATTTAATTTGTGCTAAACACTTTTATTAATCCTGTCCCTGCTGTGAAGATATGTAACATATTTTAAAACAGAAGAGTACATATCTCTTTGTAAGACAAGCTTAAAAATAAAGAGATTCAAACTTGCTATTTCATGTTTAAAACAAGGAAACATAATTGCTTATCTGTTTTAGTGTCACACTGTATAAATAAAACCCTTAAATAAATAGAAAGAAATACCATAAAAGTTGTTTATGATTTGGAAAATTATAATCACATTTGCATAATTAAGTTTGTTTTGACAAGATAAATTGGAGCTATTAAAACATATAAGCAGAAATAGGTTGATACAGAAATGTTGTGAAGACAGACTTTTTTTGTACCGACAGGTATTATTTATAGACAAAAAAAAATTGAATTAAAAAAAAAAATAGAAACTGTTTCATCTATTTAACATTTTTTAACTACATTCACATATTTTTGACATTCTCACATGAACTTTACATAAAATATAGAGACAGTGACCCCAACGCCTCTAGATTTTGCAGGGAACACCACAGGTATGGAGGTCTAGGTGGCATGGCAGGGGCCATTTACCCCCTAGGCCAGTACTTAAAATGCAGGACCAACACATATAGATTTTTTGTTGTTCAACCTGCAGGCTGAATGAAAAGAAATATAAATGATAATCGATCCATATTAAACAGCACTAATAGACGCCGGCTGTCAAAACTACCTAAACAGTGGCTGCATCCTATCATATGCTGCTTAATTTTTTCCTTTCATCTTTAATCTATCAGTTCAAACATGTCAATCAAGATGGCACTGAATTTGGACTGGATCAGCAAAAACCAGCTGAAATGTATACAGTGTTTGGCTAGCTTAGGATAGGTTGGGCCTGTGGCTCTGAATGGAGATATGTTGGGCTTGTAACCCTTTAAATGTCATACAATGTTCAGAGCAGGACCCATAGAAAGCTATCTATTCTCCATTTACACCCGTGATCACAACATCTGGCAGAGGAAGGTCTATCACCAACAGTTTTTTTTGTGGCTATGAGATGTCATGTGAATGAGTATCTTGATCTGCAATAGAAAATTGAAGGTAGATGTGTAAATAATGCCCACTAGGGACACCCACCTTGTACCATGCCCACCAATAACATGCTTTGCGTAGTATACTTTTTTAGTTCTTAGAAATTTGTTCCTACCGTAAAATGGCTAGTTACCTATGTTTCTCCCTTAACCCAAAAGTGTCCAGCTCCTCTGGAATACCACCACAGTAGTGATACACTTCATGAAATCTCTCCGTGTACTAGCTCATCTAGCTTATAAAGCAGCCTCATCCCAGCTTTCGACTGATGTTTGTCAACTTTGTGTGAACAAAAATTTGCAGTATTCCCTCCCCCTTCTTGAATGTATTTTTATTTCCCTTATTATTCTAACATCAGTTTGCTTTGTGAACATCCAATGTCACATTGTTTTGTTCTACTGATGTTTGATTTGCATGAAAAGTATTTGAAAATTAATAAAAAAGAAATTTAAAAACATTGAAGTATCTATGTACATTTATAATTACTGAAAAACATTTAAACAAATAAGCATGACTACAAAAGAGTGGAGTTGTTTTTTTTTTTATGTTGCTGGAGTTGCTGAACTTCAGTTTTTGTTACACTTTACATACAGGTGAAACTTGAAAAATTAGAATATTGTGCAAAAGTTCATTTATTTCAGTAATGCAACTTAAAAGGTGAAACTAATATATGAGATAGACTCATTACATGCAAAGCAAGATAGTTCAAGCTGTGATTTGTCATAATTGTGATGATTATGACTTACAGCTCATAAAACCCCGAATCCACAATCTCAGAAAATTAGAATATTGTGAAAAGGTGCAATATTCTAGGCTCAAAGTGTCCCACTTTAATCAGCTAATTAAGCCATAACACCTGCAAAGGGTTCCTGAGCCTTTAAATGGTCTCTCAGTCTGGTTTAGTAGGAATCACAATCATGGGGAAAGACTGCTGACCTGACAGTTGTGCAGAAAACCATCATTGACACCCTCCATAAGGAGGGAAAGCCTTAAAAGGTAATTGCAAAAGAAGTTGGATGTTCCCAAAGTTCTGTATCAAAGCACATTAATAGAAATTTATGTGGAAGGGGAAAAGTGTGGAAGAAAAAGGTGCACAAGCAGCAGGGATGACCACAGCCTGGAGAGGATTGTCAGGAAAAGGCCATTCAAAAGTGTTGGGGACTTTCACAAGGAGTGGACAGAGGGCTGGAGTCAGGGCATCAAGAGCCACCACACACAGATGGATCCTGGACATGGGCTTCAAATGTTGTATTCCTCTTGTCAAGCCGCTCCTGAATAACAAACAACGTCAGAAGCGTCTTACCTGGGCTAAAGAAAAACAGACCTGGTCTGTTGCTCAGTGGTCCAAAGTCCTCTTTTCTGATGAGAGCAACTTTTGCATCTCATTTGGAAACCAAGGACCCAGAGTATGGAGGAAGAATGGAGAGGCACACACTACAAGATGCTTGAAGTCCAGTGTGAAGTTTCCACAGTCTGTGTTGATTTGGGAAGCCATGTCATCTGCTGGTGTTGGTCCACTGTCTACCAGGAGATTTTGGAGCACTTCATGCTTCCTTCCACAGACGAGCTTTATGGGGATGCTGACTTCATTTTCCAGCAGGACTTGGCACCTGCCCACACTGCCAAAAGCACCAAAACCTGGTTCAATGACCGTGGGATTACTGTGCTTGATTGGCCAGCAAACTCGCCTGACCTGAACCACATAGAGAATCTATGGGGCATTACCAAGAGAAAGCTGAGAGATATGAGATGGAACAATGCAGAAGAGCTGAAGGCCGCTATTGAAGCAGCCT